CAAGTAAACGTGCGGTCTCCCGTGTTAATACATCTCTCTTACTACCATTGTTATGCTGTTTTCTGAGTTGTTTTTATTTATTTATTATTTATTTTTAAGCAAAACCACTCCATAACTTCTCAAATATGCTCTAAATTAATAAATGAGACTAACTCCTTTAACCTTTTAAGTGATATAAATTAATTTTTAAATCCTTTAAAAATACAAATTAACCTTTATTCTTAATGGCTTAATATGTGTAATCTCATATTGTTTGTTCTTTTCTTCAATTAGTCTCACTTTTTCACATAGAAGTTGATGTAAATCAAAGGCCTTGGGTAGTAAAATAGCCCACCTGGCCTTTTTTTATTTTTAGTATTCTCAAGTCAAGTGAAGCATTCTAATGCGATTTTTAGCGCTTTAGAGGTCCTTTAATCCACGACATCGTTCATGTGAAAAAATGGGACCAAGCGAAAGAAAAAAAAAGACAATGTGAGATCACAAACATTAAATTGTTAATGATGAAGGTTTATTTGCATTTTTTTAATAGATTTAAAGGTTAATTTGCATCATTTAAAGAGTTATAAGATTTATTTGTACTGTTTTTAATTTAGGAACTCACGTGTTAATTTAGGATGAATTTGAAAGTTAAGAGGGGATTTTGCCTTTTGCCTTCTTTATTCTTCCTATAGTATTACTGTTGCTTAGCTCTTGATTACTATTATATTATTATTATTTTCTCATTTATAATTTAATTGTCTTATTTATTAAATTTAAATGTTTTAATTTAATTATTTTCTTTTTATTTATTTGAGATATTAAATATTATTATTTCAACTTAATTTTCAATTAATATTTAAATTATTTAAGTACGTGTAACATCTAAAAGTGAGATAATTAAAATAAAATAGAGAAAGTAATATACCTTGTGTGTTGGAGCTTTGTCTGTATTTTTTTAATAATTTTTTCTTTTTATAGTTTAAATTAACTTCACTACCAAGCAAAGGGAAATCCTTACGCCAAAAAAAATCAAACCCAAAGTATTTCATTACCAAAATATTTTTTTTTTATAGAAAATGTTAAGTGGTTCAATTTGTTAGAAAAATAGGTGAGGAAGAGGGTTACACAAGTTCAAATCCTTGTTAATGCATGAAAAAACCTTTTATTTTAGATATTTGACCAACTAGCCTCAAAACCTTCTTCTCATTATCATTATGTTAATGTCCAATGACTTGTAGGAAATATATTATTTCATGTTATAAAAAAAGAAAAGAAAAGAAAAGAAAAATAATATAGTTATAATGTCACGTAATATTGTAAACATATGATTATAGTGTATCGTTATATAATTGACACTTTTTAGAGTTTAAATGTAATATTATATATATTCATTCATTTAATAATACATCATAATTATAAATTTATAATATTTTTAAGTGATATTATAATTATACAATTCTATATGACATTTTAACAAAGTGGAAAAGAAAATTGGCACAAGCTTTTTGATTACTTCCATTTGAAGGATTCCATAAGAAAATAACCCTTTTTTGTAATGAAAACTGGAAGTCAATAACAACAGCCTAGGCTATATGCAACTATAGTCTTCTTTATTTTTTGGACAGAGACCTATACTTTATTGAGTTTATTCTTAGTACCATGTGATTGTGTATGGGTTTTCGGGAAATAGCTTGCTCATTTCCCAAATCTTACATGTCTTGGTCATCAAACTTAAAATTAATTAATATGATAATCTAACATAATTTTAATTAATCTACACTAACAAAAATTGGGTTGAATTAATATTAATTTAAAAGTTTTAATTTGTGTGTTTAGATCCAAAATTTAAATTCAAACCTTTATAATATCTAACAATTAACTCTGAATATATAAAAAAAATCATGGGAAAAATTAATTAAACTTTAATCATTGATGGTTTTCATATTAGCCCAGAAAATAAAAATAAAAAATAAAAAAACAGGGGCCAATTGTTAGTCTTTTATTTTCCAAAAAGGAAAAATACTATATATTGTATTATTCCACGAAATAGAAATGACAAAAAGTACCAGCAAATAACGCTCGACTTGTTGACATGCTTGCTGGAATCGGGCGATCAAGACGATCACTTAATTGACTGGAAAATGTGTCATTTTTCCATCACATGATTTCTTGTTCTTCTTTCTTTGATTTACAGGTTAAACTGATCCTGGACTGGACAACCGCATTAGAACTTTCCAAGCACCATGCCTCGTTTTTGCGCCTTCATTGGTCAAGAAAATTTCAAATTTGGGTAGTGTTTGGCTACCTACATCAATGAAAATTCACGGTGTTAATAAATATGAAAATTCACGATTGTTTTGGGATTTATATTCACTCTAAAACTATAACAAATGAAGAGTAATGCTGATATTTTCTGATATTTTTTACTTTTATCTGCCACCCAAATAATTCTAAGGAAAATTTTCCTCACATCATATAATTTGGAGGGAAAATGCTTCCCTAATATTTTTATTGGAATCCCCACTTAGAAACTTTTTCTAGGTTAACTTCTTACTAAATAGGAAGAAGTTAATAATTTTAACAGATTAGGACTCTAATTTATTTTGAAAGTCAATATTAATATACACTTTTTCTTATATATTGTTGCCAAATAGTAGAGTTCATCTATTGCATTTATGTTTGTGAGGTTCTTACTGCATGAGTAGCATTGAATTAATACTTCTATTGAGCTTTTAAATGATTCTTTTATTTAAGTTCTACAAAAAATTGTATAATGCCCATTGCTTTTGCAATCATGAAATGCTCACTTGCAGTCACAGTGATCGGTTTCTACCTTTAGATCATTGAGTTGTAGCCATTCACTCCTTCCAGGACTGGAGGTCATCCAAGAGTTTCTCGGCAAAATTTGATGTCTTCATTATGTCAATGTCTCAATTGAAACAAAGGTTTCAATCTCTGCTTCTCTTTTAAGTAAGAGTTTGAAATAATAAATGAATATCTTCACATTATATTTGGATTATGAGTAATTTTGTAGATGAGAGGAATGTTTTTTTAAATTGGACTTGGAAGGCGTCTTTCAGAATCGGGAGATCCAGAGCAATGAATGGTGTTCCTAAACTCTTCCAAGTTCCAACAAATAGTTTGCAAGAGGGGACGGAAAGAAAAGAGGAGAATGGGAGTGTAAAGAACTAATTTCATTTGAGGACTTATTTCTTTAGAAATTTGATAAATTTAGAGACTATATTGAATTTAACCATTTTCTTAGACCGATGAAAACGCAATTGGACTTTATCTTTTTAATGGACCAATTTAATGGCCCTACATAGTTCAGGGGCTTATATGATGCCTTTTTTGTTCAAGGGTTTAAAATTGACAATCTTGTAAGTTCAGGGGCTTATCCTAGCCACTAAGGGATGTATCCTCCTATATATGTTATTGGATCCGGTAGCTAGCTTCTAATAGCAATAAAAGTTCTTATTAAGTTAAGCCAGGTAACTACGTACTAGCTATGAGCTTTCTTAACCTCCTTGAACGTGGCTGTTCTAGTGCAAAAGCCAAAACCAGTGGCAAAAGGAAGTTTCCTTTCCCCATTTCAAAACGCTCATCAAGACATTCACAAATCAAAGAACGGGTATGTCTATACATATAATTACATTTTCTTTATCATATCATTTATAATGCCTATTTCTCGAGATTCAAACTTAGAGACTTTTAGCTTATATGTTTGGACTCTAAGATGATGTATTTACATTGTTTTTATCTTAACTGGTTTTTTTTGGCAGAAAAAAAAACCGTTAGAATTGACTTTTTTTTTTTTTTTTTTTTTTGTTATGCTGCTCTTTAATCTATAATTCTAAAAATTTTTAATATTTTTTGCAGTTGCAGAGGAAGGTAGCCATGAAGAATATAAGGCAGAGCATGAAGAGATTGAAAAGGGAGATGGAGGAGATTAGTGACGAACAGAGAAGCATAAGGGAAGGGCAGAAACTAGCTAGGGAAAAATTTCAGGAAATGGAGGAAGAATGTAAGCAGCTCCGGGAGGAGACGAAGATGATAAGGATGCAAGGGAGAAGCACCCAACTCCGCCTTGCTCTCATGTTCCAAATCCTTAAAGCCAGGGAGAACAACGACCTTCCCAGAGCCACTGAGTTGACTCGATTTCTGCGGTTGGTCTTCTTTCCTTCCATTTCCAAGCGATTGTATATGTGTATATGTATTGATTTAAAACATTTTGATCATACTTGAGCTCTTACCTTTTATTACAGTGAACTGATTGCCAATCAGAACAGGCAAAATTAAGTCTTCCCAAGTTGTTCTGTAGGTTGTTGCTATCAAAGGTAAGAACTGTATCTTTAATATGTATCTGTGAATCAAAGTCGTGCAATTTTCTTTCAAGAAAGGAAGCTACGCATGCAGTGTTTTGGATGCTATATGTCTGTTTTGTCTCCATGTCTTGGGAGTTTAGGAGAGGTTATGCGACTTTGCTCTGTAATGGTAAATGTTTTGAAAGCCGAACCGTTTTGGCTTCTGATTTCTGGTTTAGTTGATCCAACCGGTTGGATGATAAATAGTGTGTTTGGTATGGAAATGAATTTCCTTTCTAAATAAATTAACTTGGGAAATGATTTACAAGTGAATTCTTATATTTTATAAATTTTAAGTGTATTTGATATAAATAAAAATATATTTCATTTCATATGTGAAACTTAGAAATGATTTTAGATATGAATTTTTATGTGTGTACTAATTTGTTAAAGTATATAGAATTCTAATGAATTCAACAATGTTTTAAATTTTGAACAAACATATAATTAAATGGAAAAATGTTTATCAAGTATATTTGAACACAAATTAAGTAAAAAATTAGTTCCACACTACAACGTTTTAATAAAATTATATAAAAAAAGCTAAATATTTTAGTTTTTAAAACATTAATTAAGGAGACTGTTTTAGTCTTCTCTGGTATTGTTTTATTGTAATAATGTAATTTTAAATTCTTTTCATTTAATTTTTTTTATAGATCCTAGTAATAAACACTAACATTTAATTAAATTTACTATTAATTTTACCTAAAATATCCTCACTAATTTGAGAGAAGAGAAAGAGATTTTTAATTTAGGGGTTTCTTTTAATCTCTCTTTTTTTCTTTTCTTTTTTTTTTTCTTTATGGGTATAGAATCTAGGCTCTCTCTTTTTTAACTACAATAGTTGATTCTCCCTCTTTCAATTCCCTTTTCTTCCCTCACCCTAATCCTTTCTTTTCCCTTTTTGTGGCTCTCCCTTTTTTTGGTCATGCCCTTTATCTTTCTTTCTTTTTCTTTTTTTTTTTATTAGTAAATAAGATATTATTAAAGAGATACAAGAGATACCTCAAACCCGTTTTACATTAATAAAAAATTTCAAAATAAGGAATTCTATTTTAAGGACTACATTTGAACATTGCAACATTGCAACATCCTATACTATTTAATTGCTTTAGCACACTCCAAGGGATTATTTGACCATTCATGTAAAGAAAATGTAAATCCCTTTGCCTTTCCTTTTAACCATATACATGTTCTAGTTTGACTGGCTTGAAATGTGCTTTCCACTGATTCCTTTGTTGCTCTAAAAATGAGATTGTTTTGTGCACTCTAAAGTGACCATGAGATGACAACACAGACAAAAGACCACACTTTTTGTATCTTTGAATTGAAGAACCCCAAAGCCACTTGTCTATATGCCTCCTCAATTGTTTTTGGAAGTACAACCACATATCCCCACCAATTGAAGCATTTCATCCACACTTGATAGGCAAACCTGCAAGAAAGCATGACGTGTCCTTCATCCTCGACTTCTTCTCTACATTTCCCATAGCTATTAATTCCTCTTTCCAATTGAAAGCCTCTCCTTTCTAGGTTGAGTTTAGTTGGCAATCTGCCTAAGAAAAATCTCCAAGCAAAAAAACTAACCTTTCTTGGTAATAAATTATTCCATATAGCTTTACAAAAATCTTTCTCCAACACTCTCTGTTCTAAGTCCAACAAAGAATAAGCCTTTTTTACAATATATTCTCCACTATTTTCATCCTTCCAAACCCTTCTATCTCTAATCCCTTCCTTCATCCGAACCCCTTCTAACATTTCTCTCAGTAATCTTTCATCCTCACATTCCCTCCCAAACAAAGTTCTTCTCCAATCATTCCTCCACCTCCAAACACCTTCACTCCAACACCCCATCTCACTAATTTTAATATCTTTGTTTCTTGCTAGGTTCTTCAATCTTGGAAACTCAGCCCCTGTGCACCTCTCCTCCACCCAATTGTCTTGCCAAAATTTAATGCTATTCTCATCTCCAACTTCCCATTTGAATCCATTTCTCACTAATTCACTCATCTCATTATTCTCACCACCTATAGAAACAATGTCCTCCAAAACTTTGGATAGTCTCCTCCTTCTAATATTTCCAACACCCGCCTTTTTCTCTCCACCATAGTATTTCTCCACTAAGACTTTCTTCCACAACCCCATGGAATTATCTTCAAATGTAGCCCACCATTTCCCTAACAAAGCCAAGTTTTTCTTCTTTACACTAAGAACACCCAATCCTCCTTTCTCCTTTTCTAAACAAACCCACTCCCATTTAACCCAACAAATCTTCCTTCCCCCCTCCTCGGACATTCCCCATAGGAACTCTTTTTCTATTTTCTCAATCATTTTTAAAACACAAATTGACAATTTAAATATGGATAAATAATATTGAGGGAAAGCAGAGAGTATCGATTTGAGAAGGATTAAACGACCACCAAAGGACAGGGATCGAGCTTTCCAACTTGTTAATCTTTTTTGTATCTTTGCTACTATTGGCACCCACATCTTTCTCTTTCTTGGATCATCACCCATTGGCATATCCAAATAAATAAAAGGAATACTATCCATTTTACATCTAAAAAGGTTAGTTGCTCTTGACAACCAATTATTCTCTATATTGAAGCTAAAGAGATTGCTTTTCTTAAAATTTATTTTCAACCTTGACATCAATTGAAACCACCTCAAAATACCTTTTGTAGCCCAAATGTACTCCATCCTAGCCTTTCCCATAATCACTGTGTCATCTGCAACTTGTAGGTGTGTGATGCACAAGTTTCCTAAACTCACTGGAACTCCTTCAAACATGCCTTCATACACTGCCTTGGAGATCAAATAATGTAAACCTTGAGCCACCACTATAAACAAAAATGGGGACATAAGGTCCCTTTGTCGAAGCCTTTTCTCCATCCTAAATTCCTCTGAAGGGCTGCCATTCACCAAAACAGAAATATATGTTGAAGAAAGACATTCTGCTGTCCATTTCCTCCATCTCTCACCAAATCCAAAATTTTCTAGCATGCAGTCCAAGAAATCCCAATTCATACAGTCATAAGCTTTCTCAAAATCCACCTTCAAAATAAAACTATCAAGTTTTCTCTTCTTAATTTCATCTACAACTTCATTTAGCATAAGACTACCATCCACTATTTGTCTCTTCCCCACAAAAGTTGACTTGTTTTCACTAATAATTTTATCCAAAACTCCTATCATTCTATTTGCTGACACCTTTGCCACTATTTTATATAGGCTTCCTATAAGGCTAATTGGCCTAAAATCCTTTAAATCAATAGGATTATCGATCTTCGGAACCAAAACAATAAAACTTGAATTTAATCCCCTTACTAATTTATTGTTCATATGAAACTCCTTCATGAACTGCATGATGTCCTCCTCCAGTATGTCCCACAGTGATTTTATGAATTTAAAATGAAATCCATTAGGTCCTAGTGCTTTCTCACTATTACATTCAGCAATAGCTTTCTTGACTTCCTCCAAGGAAAACTCCACCTTTAGCCTTGATCTATCATTTGCGGAGATTTTATTAACATCCACCTTTCCAAGAGTTGGCCTTCTCCAACTTACTTCTAAAAATTGTTTCTTGAAATGATATGCTACTAACCTCTTAACATTTTTGGGTTCCTCCTCCCAATTTCCATCCTTCCCCGTGAATTGCATTTCTAGCCCTCATGCTGCTTGCGTATCTATGAAAGAAGTGTGTGTTTGCATCTATGAGTTTTAACCATATAGCCCTAGATTTTTGCCTCCATAATCTTTCTTTTTTCTTCAAGCCGTCCCATAGCTCATCTAGACCTTCCTTTCTCATCAAAATGTCACATTCCTCTAAATCAATTTCCTCCCCTTTTAAATCTACTACTACACTTTCTCCTTTGTTAACTCAATTTGTTGATCAATGTTGCCATAAACTTCCTTATTCCAACCTTTTAGAAAGCCTTTTAATTTTTTTAACTTTTCTTTGCATCTATACCCACTCCAACCATCCACCTGAAATGACTCCCATTTCTATTTTATAATCTCTCTAAATCCAGGATATTCCA